CTCCTCGTGTAGGCTGCAGGGTGTGCCTGAGAAGCTGGGAGGTTTCAGACAAGGCTAACCACACTTGACTGGCTGTTGGATCAGGCTGTTACAACGAAGAATGTTTAGCTCATGTAGTGTGTTCCCAGCATTTGTGTTTGCTGTGAGCAGGAAGTACAAAGAACTTGGGCTTCTGAATGAGACACCTAGGGTCAGATCTAGCTGTGCCCATTGCTGGCTCAGTGCTGATCACTGTGGCCCTGTGCAAGCCACTTTGCCTCGCCTCAGTCTCAGTTTCCCTATCGGTCAAAGGGGGTATTAATTTCAGCCTTGAATTTTTATGCAAAGATTAAGGAAAATAAAGTGTGTCAGGAAGTTGATATGGGATCTTCATTTTATTCCAGGAAGCTTTGTAAACTCTCCCTACTTAATTTTTTAAAAAATTTCTTCTTCCTCCTTTAAGGTTGCTGCTTTGGCCCTCGACCTGGTGCCCATTCATAGTGTTTTGCCCCAGGAGCATTTTCTGCAAAAAGTATCATCATATGCTTTCTCCTGGAGGGGAAGGGAATAAGGGGCTCCTGGCTGTTGTTATCAGAATTCCGTAGCATGAATACAATCAATACCTGGAAACTGGCAGTGGAAAAAAAATTCTCAGGACTGAGGATGACTTAGATTTTTACAGAAAAAGCCAAAAGCAATTCTTTGCACAGGAATCGTGTCTGGAAAGCCCATTTAAGGCATTCCCTCACTGCTGCTTTTGGCTGCCTGGCGGTCCTGGAATTTGCTAGGTCTGAAGCATTAGGCCATTTAAGGGCATGATGGTTGAGACCAGTGAGCAAAGGCAGGTCAAGCTGTTAGAGCAGCGCCTCATTCATTTGCACATATTCGATGCCTGCTATCTTCCCAACAAGTGTGCTGAGTGAGAAGGTACTGTGCTGAACAAAAACATTCATAGTTTCTGCCCTCACGAGGCTTCTCCATCAGTTGCGGAGACTGGTGTCAATCAAATAACTAGAGAAAGAAAGATGAAATTTGAACTGGGGGGATTTCTGTGAAGGGTAAATATAAGGAACTTCTGAGATCAAGTAAGAAAATCCTAATCTGGGGAGAAGTTCAGGAAGGGCTTCCCTAAAGGAAAAAGGATATTAGGCAGGTGGGGAGGAGGGGAGAGTATGTGAAGATGGGATGGTGCCCAGACCCTGGAAGATGGAAAGGAGAGGGGAGAGTGGCCCAGGATGGGCAGTGACCTGTGCTTGTCTTGCAGGGCAGGCCATGTTCAGGACAGTGGACTTTTCTTGAGAGCAATGGGAGCTATTGAAAGGAGTGGTAATTGCAAGTAATTCAGGGATGCTCTGAGCAAGTTGGTCTGAGTACAATCGGGATGATGCATCATGGGCCATTGCAGCTGTCCATGTGAAGGATCATGGAGGCCCAGTGCAGCTGGAGGTTGTGGGAGTAAAACAAGAGGATGGAGTCAAGTTTGTGTGGGAGCAAGAATGACCAGAACCTGTTCTTGGGGAGTCCTGACATAGCCGATGGGAGTGAAATAAATGGGTGTTTGTATACAAATATTAAATCAGTGCCTATACAACTCTGAGCCTACACTGTATAAGATACAGTATACCTTAAAACCAATACATCCAACTGGGACAGGAAATAATTTCTTCCATAGTTTTTTTTTTTTTTTTTTTTTTAAAGATGACCGGTACGGGGATCTTAACCCTTTTGGTGTTGTCAGCACCACGCTCACCCAAGTGAGCTAACCGGCCATCCCTATATAGGGATCCGAACCCGTGGCCTTGGTGTTATCAGCACCACACTCTCCCAAGTGAGCCATGGGCCGGCCCTATAGTTTTTTTTTTTTTTTTTTTTTCCTTTTTTGTCTTTTTTCGTGACCGGCAAC